TGGGCTGGATGGATGGGCAGCTCATGGTGGTGATGGATGAGTTGATCAGGTACCCACACAGGTGAATTGGTGTTCTGGGGAAAGACACAAGCAAATCTTCGTCCAGATGTTAGTAAAATAAAGCAACGGGGTGGCAGTTGACTCTGGTTGGGAAAAGGTACCATAGCAAGGAGTAGTCATAAACGTCTGTCTCAAAACATTCCACAGAGAATAAGCATCCTCAGGCATCTGAGTCCCTCCACTAGTGGAATACTATTTTTTAATATTTTTTCCAACCCAATCCCAAGTTTCCAAATCCAAGGTTCCCTCGTCTGGAAACCAAGTACTTACTTTCTGCACAAAATCTAAAAATGAATTAAGCTTAACTTTACTAACCTTAATACATTTGTGTTGCAACATTTTTCTTATTATTCTCAAATATGCTTTCCTTTCCTTAGAACCCAAACGGCCCATAATTACTTCTTTTAAAGAGGCATAACAACTTCTCAAATAATGAAATACTCTTAAAGAGACACGACAACTTCTCAACTTCTTTTTAAAGAGGCACTACAACATCTCAAAATTTCAGACTCAATTACTTCTCAACATCTTAAAGAGGCACAGTAACATCTCAAAAGTTCAGACATGATTACTTCTCAACATCGTAAAGAGGCACAATAGCATCTCAAAAGTTCTGGCTATTTGTCCTATCCTTTCCTGCACTCACTCACAAGGGGTCTGTAGCACCCTCAGGACAAAGTCCGTTCCTGAAACGATGAACGACATGAAAATTATACTTACCTGCTCAAGTCCTCTGTTCAGGTGCCACTTGCTGGAGTCTGGCTCCAGGAGAGAGTCAGGGAGATGGGGGAATTGGGAAGCGGTGAAAAAGAAAAGATGAAAACGACAGGAATCCTCTTCCTGGGGAGAGCTCAAGACTCTGCCAACTTTTGTTTATTTTTCACAAGCTCATATAGGTTTTCCACTCAGCCCTGTATCCACAAATGTATCTTATGTTGCTAACCAATCACCCACATACATCCTTTTTGCACTCACAATAAGGTTGACCTTTAATAATTTCAACCACAGATGGTGTTTTTCTTAAGTCAAACATTTATGACATCCTGGTTTTCTTCCTAACTTTCTTATAACTATTTACTATTATAGGCCTATAATATCCTTACCCTGTAAAAGTTAAACCTTAACCCTAAGTCTTATTTAACTTACTTACTACTATATACTTATTTCTTTTAATCTTATTTCTAGCCTTATGTCCCTATATTTTAACTATCACTTATACTATTATATATCTCTTATCTTACTAGTTTATCTTATCTTACTATCTTATTATTAGTATTCTAAATTCTATCTCATTAAACTACTTATTTAATCCTAAAATATCTTAACCTATTTTTTATCTCAAACAGTTGTTTTCCACCAGCTCTCAGCTGGGGTCTGTTGTTTATGAGGAAGTGGTCGACTTGTTTTTCTCGGCCTCCTGCTGTTACTGAAAAACATCCTTACACACCCTAAGGGACACCTTTTTTGCTGCAATCTCACCTCCATTATGCCTATGTATAATTTTTGCTATCAGATGCCATCATACATTTGCGCATCTATTTTCTCAAAGAGGGAACATTCTCAAGGCTATGCACACAATCCTTCAAAGTTAGGGAAGGTCCGTCAACAGGATCCATGGGGCTTTGTCTCCATCATGGCCACATTTTACTGGGGCCTTGCTCCCAGCTGGCATTTTTCCTGTTTTCAGGTCCCTTTTACCTTACTTTTACTAGTGATTGTGGCTCCCGACACTGAACCACTGAGTCCGGCTTTCTTTTCTTCTTTCTTTCTTTACCTTTTTTTTTTCTTTTTAGATTGGTGGATTCATGGATACTTCACTCCCCTGTTCTCTCACTTTTCCACTTCTGTCTCTGCTGTGTACTGATGTTTATATGGTTTTAGCTATAATTGAAATCTAGTACTTAAACTCTATTTTAATAGGATAATTTGAAGAACTTGAAAATTGTTTCTAAGAAGATAAAAATGTCTCATCTTTACTTTCTGAAGCTATCTTCATAATTTCTCTGTTGCTTGATACTTTCTCTAAGATTAATATTTAATTTTCTCAAAAGTTTTGCAAGTGAAAACTCTAGATTTCCCTCTCTGAGGAACCCAGACTCCTCAAGTATTGAGTTTCTGTTTAAGTCTAGATTACATAAAATTCCAGTGGAGCATCTGAGGAGCTGGAAAAACAACACAGAAATATCATCTTCAAGGATCACAACCCAAATTCTTCCCATAGGTTCTGGGATAACATGACTAAGAGGACCTTTAAGATCAATTAATCAGAGAATCCTTGACTTTCTGAGGGAGGAAAGCTCCTTGAGATTATGTTTAAATACTCCCCTAAATCAAAACTCATCTGTGAATTATTGTTCAAAGATCCTCTGTGTCAGTACCCTCCATACTTCTTAACCATTTATTTCAGTTTTAACTTACTTTTTCTTTTTGAATTTAAAATAAGGAGACTGAATACCCAAGTTAAGTATCTTAATCAAAGTAACTCAAAACTAAATCTAAAAATCTAGATTTTTTTCACTCCAAATTGAGGGATCTTTTATCTTCATTTTATAGTTTGTAGATATTTAGTAAGAAGAGATTTTTTTTTACTTCTCTCACATCTCTCTGTCATATTACTGCTGATAACATACTATGGTGGTCCCTGATGCCATCTTGAGCAGAAGAGGCTGACTTCTCAGATGAACTGTGGAGCTGGATCCATAGATCATAAAAAAGGCAATTGTATCAACTTCACGATTCATTTAGGCAATGAGATGATATTAATAGTAAGTAAAAATATAAATAGCTGGAATCAGCTGTCCTCATGGGGCTGAGTGACAAATAATCCAAACAATTTTCTTTGGCATTGGGTAAACACAAGTACTCTTTCAGAATCAGAGTATTCCAGCTTCTGTAGTACATTACACATCATAGAGAGTGAAGTGAGGGCCTGGTGGTAGTAGAGGTTGATTAGCTGACAGAAGGTCCAAATGAAAGTCTTTGGAGGTGATGAGACAAGTCTCAGGAATGACCATACATTTAGATTTTCCTCACTGTTTTAAATAAACAGAAATCAATTTTTGTAAGAGATGTTATTATGTAAGGAAACTTTTACAGTTCTTGATATAAAAATATGTAACTAGTACACACACATATACACACATATAATGGAGATGTATGTGGTTTATGCTTTCTTTATATTTATACGTAGGTGCAATATCTTTGTAGTTACACTAACTTCAAATGAAATATGATACCCACTAAATTTAGAACCATTTTCTAGTAACTAAAAAGGAAAAACATATCATTTACAAATTCTAGAGTTAGATTGAGTGAGTTTCAGAAATGTCCAATGATTTAGCTTACAGTCTAGAAAACAGGATTGATATTGATTAGAAATATGTAAAAAAAAAAAATGGATAGCAGATGCCAATAATTTCTCAGCACAAAATTATGTAAAAGTCTCAGAAGTATTAAAAATAAAGACTGGATAAAGCCAATACATATTGGAGGAATCTTCATCCAGATAGCCCTTTCCTTATGTATTAGATCAGGCCACTGGAAAATGTACCCATGGAAAAATTAGGAATAAAATGACTTTAAAAATAATTCTAAGGTGGGCTCGGTGGCTCAGCCTGTAATCCCATGCCTTTGGGAGGCTGAGGTGAGTGGATTGCCTGAGCCCGTGGGTTCGAGACCCACCTGGGCAACTTGGCGAGACCTCATCACTACAATAAATAAAAAAATCAGCCGGGCGAGGTAGTGCATGACTGTAGTTCCATCTACTTGGAAGGCTGAGACAGAAGGATCACCGGAGCCCAGCAGATCGAGGCAGCAGTGGCTGGGATCAGCCACTGCACTCCAGTCTGGGCAACAGAGTGAGACTCCAACTCAAAACAAACAAACAAACAAACCAACAAACAAAAAATAATTCTACTTAGCAGTTTGTAAACTGTTAGGAGAATGCTTGAAAGATAATTTATTGATATAAAAATATTCAACAGTCATAAAAACTGTGGTTTTTAACAGGAAAGAGGAAACTAGCAAACTTCCCAATTAAGTAATTCTTTATAACTCTCAGTGGCAAGCTCAATTATTTTGGGAAAATTCTATTTCACTGAGTTTAAGGTATCTTAGAATGAAAATGTGCACTGTGTTGCAAAATACTGTGAAGTCAGTCATTTCTCTCTACTACCCAGGTGTCTATTCTGTTCCTGAAAAAAAGAAAATTTTTTACTACCAAAAATGGTTTTTTTTGTTCACGTGTGATTCTATTTTATAGCTTGTGAACCTCCAGTAGTATTTCTTATTGTTCTCTTGTTAGTCTGTCAGAAATTAAGCTAAGGGTTTTTGTTTGTTTTCCTAATAATTTTGGGTACCAACATAACATTGTTTTAAGGAATAATTGAGATAAAGTATATGATATCATCACCATATATCTCAGCATATAATAAATCCTCAGTAAACACAGTATCTTATCATCTTTACTAAGAGATCACCTTATTCTTTTATTCCATTCTCATTTTATGGTTGAATAAAGTGGAGTTGACATGTTCATATCTGAGGAATATTTCTTCTTTCATTCAATGTTATGATCAGGTTCAGATAGCTGAAATTAACATCATTTTTCACTTTTGGAGGGGTAGTTCCTTGGACTTATAGTGAGCAAGAAAAACACTAATCCATACATAACCTAAAAAAGAAAACTCTTAGAAAATTTCCTAATTCTTCATGAGAGATAGCACGTTCTTCACATTAGAGAAGGTCTCCAAACTGATTGCCAGTTATCCTGTTGCATATTTAGCTGTAATTTTTCTTTTAAAGAGGGAATGAAGAAATTCTACTTAATATCTGGAAATGTCTGCCATCTACATACTTTGTGCTGGGTTTCTCATACATTTATACTCTTTTTTCAGGATCCTCACCTTTGTTCCTGACTCTCCTGTGTAAAAGTGATTTCTATGGAGTGGGTCAATGAGACTGCAGTGAAAAAGTTTGTCTTCCTTGGCTTCTCCTCCCTGGCCAGGCTGGAGCAGCTGCTCTTCATTGTCCTCCTGCTCCTCTACCTGTTTACTCTGGGCACCAATGCCATCATCATTTCCACCATTGTGCTAGACAGAGCACTTCATACCCCCATGTATTTCTTCCTCTCCATCCTCTCCTGCTCTGAGACTTGCTACACCTTCGTCATTGTACCCAAGATGCTGGCTGACCTGCTGGCCCAGAAAAAGACTATTTCCTTCCTGGGCTGTGGCATTCAGATGTTTTCCTTCCTTTTCCTAGGCTGTTCTCACTTCTTCCTGCTGGCGGTCATGGGTTATGATCGCTACATGGTCATCTGTAACCCACTGCGCTACACAGTGCTCATGGGACATGGGGTGTGTATGGGACTAGTGGCCGCGGCCTGTTTCTGTGGCTTCACAGTTTCTCTGATCACCACCTCCCTGATATTTCACCTGCCCTTCCACTCCTCTAACCAACTTCATCACTTCTTCTGTGATATACCTCCTGTCCTAAGACTGGCATCTCACCACTCTGGCCTCAGTCAGTTGGTTATATTCATGCTCGGGATATTTGCCTTGGTTATTCCCCTGTCACTTATCCTGGTATCCTACATTCGCATTATCTCTGCCGTTCTAAAAATCGCTACCTCTGCTGGAAGATACAAGACTTTCTCCACTTGTGCCTCCCATCTCATCATGGTAACTGTTCACTATGGTTGTGCCTCTTTCATCTACTTAAGGCCCAAATCTAATTACTCCTCAAGCCAAGACACCCTAATATCTGTGTCTTATACCATCCTTACTCCATTGTTCAATCCAGTGATTTACAACCTGAGAAATAAGAAATTCAAATCAGCCCTTTGAAGAAAAATGGGCCAGACTTTATATCCTGTAAACTAAAGAACCAGTTTAAGCTACTCATGCCTAATATGAGCCAGGCAAAACACATAGTTTCACATATTTTCTCATTGTCCAACTGTAGTATAACATAAGGAATTTGATATATGAGGAGAATGAGGGTCAGAGAGGTTAACACATTCTGGCTTTCTATGGTCAGTGATACTTTAACAAGCCTAAACAGATATAAGAAGGGAGTCGGGAGTGGTGACTCACACTGGTAATCCCAGTACCTTAGGAGGCAGAGGCAAGAGGATTACCTGAGCCCATGTGTTCGAGATCATCCTGAGCAACATGGCAAGACCTCATTTCTACAATAAATCAAAAAAATTAGCTGGGTGTGCTGATGTGCTCCTGTAGTTCCAGTTACTTGGAAGACTGAAGAGGAAGGATCACGTGAATCCAGCAGGTCAAGGCTGTGGTGGCCATGAGTGTGCCACTGCACTTCAGCCTGGGTGACAGAGTGAGACTCTGACTCAAAAAAAAAAAAAAAAAGGATTACTCAGTTCCTGAACAAATTTAATTGTAATTCACTGCTCTAAATCTAAATATTGGTCATTCAAAAACTGCTAAGACAGCAAAGATGTGTCCTCATTGATGAGAACAACTGAGGAAACATAGACACATTTAAGTCATCTAGTTCTCAGGAGAAAGAAGAGAAAACCCATCTATCTCTACCCTCTCATTCCTAAAGATGAGAGGCAGCCTTGGTCCTACAAATTCTGCAGCAGACTTTAGTGGCCCTTTTTGGCTCCTCATTCAACCTACATATTGGAATGTCTTTGCCTTTACTTGGGATTGTTTTGTCTTTCCTTTATTTGAGATTGGAGCCTCTTTATGGAGTCTCCTCCCCATGCATATGTGTGTGTCCTTCCCATACTACCTTGTCTTAATCTCTACATGTATTTCCTGAACATCATACTAATTTGTTCTCTTCAAGGAAGCTAATAGCATTGCATAATTGCTGAAATATCTCAAGTAGTTCTAAGCAAAAAAAAAAAAAAAAAGAGTTAATATTAATAGATGGCTGGAGTCTGAGAATGGCCAGAAAATCCATGGAAAACCTTCCAATGACTCCGTAGCCACAAAAGATTAAGCCAAGAGTCCTTCAGTAGCATGGTTTTATTATCTAGTTTCCACCTTCCTCTTCAGTGTTGTAATTTCTAATGTTGTTATTATACATTTCCTAAATGTGCTCAGTTGTGCACTGTGAAGCTAACCAACAATTTGCTGGTCCCTGAAGTGACATGATTTTGTATTTTCATGTGCTGCTTTTCTGCTTTGAAATAGTTTCTCTTCTTTATTTAATCTATATTCCTAATACCATATTTCAAAACAATCTCAGCTATCACTTACCTGCTAAGCCCTCTCTTGTCTGCCTGTAGCACCCTGCAATGGGATTAGTCTCGTATTTGTATTCTCATGATACCTAGGACCTATTTTTATAATATCTTTTATAATATCAACAAATATTTATTCATTTCTTAGCATGTACCAGATACCATTTTAGTTACCTGATATATATATATATGTATATACAGTCTCTCCCTTCATAGTCCTTATGGTCTTGTTTGAGACATTCCCAGTAAACAGATAAGCTGAGGGAAAAATATCTTATCACTAATTTAAGTCTATTACTGAAGAAAAACTACATATTACATGCAGGGCTGAGAGGAAAAAGTGAAAAAAGAAATCTAATTTAAAATGAATGGTGTGGGGTTTGTCTCCCAGAGAAATTGATATGTATCCTGCAACCTGAGCAGCAAGTGAAAGTCATCAGGTAAAGTAGTTGGTTTGTGCACCCTGAAGCAGGAGTGAAATAAGTTGGAGGTAATCAAAGAAGTTCAGTATAATTGTTTTTTTTTTTAATTTGTATTTTTAATTGGCAAAGAAGATTATACAAGTTTATGATGTACAATATAATTTTTATGATGCTTTGGTATACTTTACATAATGTAGAATCACTAAATCATGTTAATTAACACATGCGTTACCTCACATACTTGTCATTTTTGTGGTGAGGACACTAAAAATCTACTCTCATTAATTTTCAGGTATACAATAGATTGTTATTAGTTACAGTCACAATAATGTACAATATATTTTTAAAAATTATTCCTTCTAACTAAATCTTGTACCTTTTAACCAACATATTGACAACTCTCTAGCCCAGAAAATGACAACTCTCTAGTCTCCCCTCCTTCCCCTCACTGTGGCCTCTGATAACTGCCATTCTACTGTTTCTATGAGTTTGACTCTTTTAGATTTCACATATGAGTGAGATTATTAATGCTTTGTCTTTCTGTGCCTGGTTTATTTTACTTATTGATGTTCTCTGGGTTCATCTACATTGTTGCAAATAATATAATTTCTTTATTTTTAAGGCCAAATAACAGTCTATTGTGTGTATACAATGCATTTTCTTTTTCCATTCATTCATTGATAGAAACAGGCTGATTCTATGCCTTGACTATCATAAATCATGCTATAAAAGACATGAGAATGCAAGTAGCTCTTTGACACAATGATTGCATATCCTTTGGATATATACCAAGTAGCAGTCTTGGTAGATCATACAGTAGTTTCATTTTTAACTTTTCAAGGAAACTTCAACTGCTTCCATAATGGTTATACTAATTTACATTTCTGTAAAGAATGTGTAAACATTCCCTCTTTCCACATCATTTCCAACACTTATCATCTTTCATCTATTTGATAATAACTGTTCTAACAATGTGAGGTGATATCTCTGTGTTTTAATTTGCATTTTCCTGATGATTAGTGAGGTTGAGCATTTTTTCATATACCCGTTGTCCATTTATATGTCTTCTTTTGAGAAATGTCTATTCAGATTCTTTGCCCATTTTTTAATTGGATTATTTGTTGTTTTATCACTGAGCTCTTTAAGTTCCTTATATATTTTTGACATTAACCCCTTATTATATATATGGTTTGCAAGTATTTTTATCCATTCAATCAGTTGCCTCTTTCGTATGTTGATTGTTTTCTTTGCTGTGCAGAAGTTTTTAGTTTGGTATAATTCCATCTACTTATTTTTGCCTTTATTGCCTGTGTTTTGGGGGATATAGCTACTATTTCTTATTTTTTGCAAGGAATTTAAATTCCCAGTTATCATGAATTTATGTATTAGATAGAACCTTTTCAACCCAAGGTCTTGTATAGTGTCTGTCATGTCAGAAATGTTTGTCTTATGAATGGCTATTCCTGTCTTGTCATTTTCTGCTCCCTAGTTTGCTTTGCCATTTTCATGCTTTATGCTAGTGAATATTAACTCCATCCATCCTGGCAGGCAAGCCAAGCACATGGAAGTCATCTTCATCATCTTTTTAAAATTGTTACACCACCCATTAAATCAGTGACTAAGTCCTATAGATTCAACTAGCTAAATTTCCTCAATCACAGTCCTTCTCCATTTCCACAGTATTGTGCGATCTCCTTTGGATTACTGCAACAACTTCAAGTCTGGTTGTCCCCAAACCAATCTTCACACTACTGCCAGGGATATCTTAAAGTTGTTATAAAAATTAAATTAGATAATATATGTTAAACACTAGGAGCCGAGCCTTGAATATACTGAGTACTATTTATTTTATTTTTTAAATAATTTTACTTCAAAGATGTGGTGTACAATTCAGATTTAGGTATACAATGGGTCATTGTACAGGTAAAGTTTGGGCCTCACTTTGGTCCTCACTGCTCCTGGTTTGAGATCAGGTACACTTATTGAGTAATGTGGCCCCCTCCCTCCCCTGGCAGTCTCCCACTACTGCCATTCCCTTTCTTACTGTATTATGGTAAATGTTCAAGGTCTGCTTATGAGTGAGAACATGTGGTACTCAGTTCTTTGTTTCTGTGAGAGCTCACTCAGTATGATAGACTCTAAACCCATCCAAGTTGCTGCAAAGTCTATAATTTTGTTCTTTAGGGCTGCATAATATTCCATCGTGTATGTGTACCACATATTTTTTATCCAGTCAAGTTTCGATGGGCAGCATGCTTGGTTCCAAGTTTTTGCTATTGTGAATAGTGTTGCAATAAACATGATTGAGCAGGTATCTTTTTTTGTGGAGTGATCTGAGTTCCTCTGGGTATATTCCCAGAAGGGGAATTGCTGGGTTGTATAGAAGGTCGATTTCTAGTTCTTTTAGGAATTGCCATGCTGTTTTCCATAGAGGTTGAACTAGTTTTCCTTCCCATCAACTTTGTTGACTTTGAAGATGGAAGAAAGAGAGCATGAGCCAGTGAATGTGTAGGGTCTCTGGAAACTGGAAAAGGCAATTAAAAGACACTTCCTTTTAGGTGTCAAGATTTTCCTTTGGCACCCCCAGAAAGGAACACAGGCATGCATACCCCAGATTCTTATGTCCAAGTTTCTGAATATGTTTTACTTTCTCCCTTCTCTGCAGGTCTTGGCAGAAAACCTCACCATGGTCACTGAGTTCCTGTCGTTGGGATTTTCAAGCCTTGGTGAAATCCAGCTTGCCCTCTTTGTGGTGTTCCTTTTTCTGTATCTAGTCATTCTTAGTGGAAATATCACTATTATCAGTGTCATCCATCTGGGTCAAAGCCTCCACACACCAAAGTACTTCTTTCTTGTCATTCTCTCAACATCTGAGACTTTCTACACCTTTGCCATCCTATCCAAGATGCTCATCAATCTACTTTCGGTGGCCAGGACAATCTTCTTCATGTGTTGTGCCATTCAAATGTTTTTCTTTCTTGGTTTTGCTATCACTAACTGCCTGCTGTTGGGTGTGATGGGTTATGATCACTATGCTGCCATTTGTCACCCTCGGCATTACCCCATTCTTATGAGTTGGCAGGTGTGTGGAAAACTGGCAGCTGTCTGTGGGACTGGAAGTTTCTTGGCCTCCCTTACAGTAGTAAGTTTTGTTTTCAGCCTCCCTTTTTGTAGTGCCAACAAGGTCAATCATTACTTCTGTGAC